TTTTTGGAGGATATCATTTATGAACAAACTCACCAAAATTATTATTATTATACAGTATTTATATAGCGTCAAAGGGTATGCTCAGCGCTGTACAATAGCAAGGGGGACAGAACATGAGACAAGACAGTAAGAATACAATACACGAGGGGTTCGAGGGCCCTGCTCTTTCGAGCTTACAATCTAGGAATGCATGCAGTTGCTTCCATTTACAGCATTTGTAAATCGGTTGTCTGCAGAAGCATGAAATTGATGACCAAGTGGCCTGCACAATGTTCTAAAATTACACTCATTTCAGTACACGTCACATTAACCTGGGATGTGCTGCCAGCCGAAATGAGGGCCAACAGGCAGAATTTCACTATTCTTTTACTGAAGCAAGTTCACTCTGCATCGGACCACACATGGCACTAGAATGCCAGCGCATGTCCTGTAAAAGAACAATCGGTTATTAATATGCTGTAGAGATGTACAGACTGATAAAGTTATGCGCAGCCAGGGAACAATTGGGAGAGTAAAATATAGAAAAAGCAGGTCATTCACATAGCAACGCCTCTATGAAATCATCCAATAGGGAAGATAACGACTTCACAAAGCCAGCACATTAATGCAGACAATCAACACCAGCAGATACTGTTAGATAAGTCAGAGAAATCAGCTGATCAATACTGAAATGTCAATGAAGAATAGCTGCAGGATGAACTATAAAAGATCAGATAGCATACTAACCCAGTATGCAAACAACAAAGATAACACAACCATGCAATTATGGCATTATATTCTGTTGCCTTTCTTGGTTGACAAAACTGCAGAGTCTAAAGCTGGCCATACACTATACAATTTTCTTACAAATTTCTGTCCAATTTCCTTTTAGATTTACCTTCAACTATGTAGTATAAGGGCCTGCCTAATTTGATACAATTGAAAGTGTTGATAGGTTTGACCTCATATTATATGGTTTTTGGTAAAACTAAACCAAAAATCTCCAGAAAATTGTATAATTCTACACTATACAATTTTCTTCCAAATTCCTGTCCAATTTCTGCCCGATTTTCTTTAGATTTACCTTCAACTATGTAGTGCAACAGCCTGCCTAATTGAATACAGTTTTTTAAATTCAGCAAGCTGTCTTCACCATGTCTAGATGCCTAAATGCATTGAGTTGCTGCTATGTGATTGGCTGATTAGCAATTTGTGTTACCAAGCAATTGTACAGGTGTACCTTATAAAGTGGCAGGTAGCGCATTATGCAAGTTTGCAGAATTGTGCCCCCAAAAAGAACAGTACTCAAGGGGTCAGCACAATAAACCTGGACTAAGGCTGGCCATACATTATACAATTATCTGGAGATTTTTGGTTTAGATTTACCAAAAAACATATAATAGGAGGACAAACCTAAACAACACTTTCAGTTGTATCCAGTTAGGCAGGCCCTTGCACTACACAGTTGAAGGTAAATCTAAAGGAAATTGGGCAGAAAATTGGAAGATAATTGTATAATGTATGGCCCCATGATCCCCTATTGCCCGGGGGCCCCATGAGTTGTCAGTCCGCCCCCTGGTGACAGTGTTATATAAACAATATAATCCACAGTGCTAGTGATCACTAATGTGTAGTATCAAACATCCAGAAAAGTCCCATATATACCATAATGGCTAGATGTAGACAATGATATTAACAATTATATCCACAGTGTATGTGTTCACTTCTGTATGACATCAAACATAAAAAGAATATGGATATTCCACAATGACTTAATATGGACAAATATATTTTTAATATATTTTAATTGTTAATATCATTGTCTATATATAGCCATTGTGCATGTGACCACGGGTTCAGTCTGTATCAAGTGGTCATTTCAACAAGAGAAGGGGCAGAGCAGAAAGTATCAAACAGCCTTTTTACACAATGCAGAGGATTAACCCCTTAGGTTCCACAGTGAGTATAACAAGCATGCTTTACTGTATATACAGACTGATTTTACTGTCGTGGGTTTAATAACAATTTAATCTGTGCTTGAAGGTGTTATCCTGTGAGTCGCCTGTAACTCAAGCTCTTGACTCTCAGAAACTTGTCTTCTGATTCTGTCGTGCCTTTGGGTCAGGCAGATCTCCTGTCAGAGTTTTCTCCAGTTTCCCAATGCCTTTTGATGGTGTCACCTTGGTTTTCTTTGCAATTAAAGCTCAATAAAAAAACGCTAAGGGCCCGTTCACACTTCAGCATTTTGTACCTTGTAGCTTGAAGCTCAACAAGCAAAAACCTATTGTTTTCAATTGCCCTTGTTCACATCTGAGGGTCCTGGCGCTTGTAGCAAAACACCTGTCACTCAAAAAAGGAACATGAGCTACTTTTCAGGCAGAACTGAGCGTTATTGGAACGCCAGAAAAGCACGACATAAGCTTTTTTCACAAGTTTTTTCAAGCGTTTTGTGGTGTGTTTTCTGCCTAAACAGCAGCTCTCCACCCTTTTTTCAGCAGCACTCCACACCTCTTATTAGAAGAGCGCCTTAAAAAAGGTCTTACAAAAGATGCAAAAATGTACAATTCTGCTTAAAAAAATGCTCAAAAACACTTAAAAAGAAAAAAACACTTGAAAAACCGCTTGAAAACGTGACGCTTAGATGTGAATATTGCCTCAAGGAACGACCTACACCTTTATGGGTTATAATTGTCTGTCTGTCTGTCTTCCTTTGTTAATTGCTTTTTTCTTGCCATTTTAAGAGCATTATACTAGTTCATGCAGTACAAGACAGTCCAAATATTCTTTAAGAGCAGAGGTAGGCAACCTTACCCACTTACCTACAGGGCACTTTCACCCCCTTCCTGCCCAGGACCAATTTTCAGCTTTCAGCGCTGTCGCACTTTGAATGATAATTGCACAGTCATGCAACACTGTACCCATATGAAATTTTTATCATTTTATTTTAGACAGATAGAGCTTTCTTTTGGTGGTATTTAAACAAACCAAAAATAACTGAAAATTTTGAAAAAAAATAATTTTTTCCTTAGTCTCTGTTATATAATGTCACCTATCAGTGCCCATCAGTGCAGCCCGGGGCAGACTGACCATTTGGAAACTCAGGCACTGCCCGAGGGCCTGGGGTCAGCAGGGGCATCTCATGGGGCCCCCTACTGACCCCAGGCCCTCAGGCAGTGCCTGAGTTTCCAAATGGTCAGTCTGCCCCTGGGCTGCACTGATAGGTGACATTGATGGGCACTGATGGGCATTGACAAGCATCACTGGTGGGCATTCACAGACATCACTGATGGACACTGAAAGGCAGTACTCATATATGGCACTGACTGGCACTGATTGGCAGCACTCATAGGTGGCACTGACTGGCACTAATAGTTGGCACTGAAAGGCATCTCAGATGGGCACGGATATGTGGCCTTGATGGGCACTGACAGGTGGCATTGATGGACACTGGCAGGTGGCACTGAGGGGGGGCTACACTAATCATCAGGACACTGATCACACTCAAAATATTTTTTTTTTTTTTAGAGAAGCAGCAGTGCCTGCTGCACTTGTAAGTGAGCTTTTTGTTGCATTCGGCAGCAGCACCCTTAGGGCTCATTCACACGGAAAGTTGGGGGTGGTAAAACCTTGTGGTTGCGCCACAATTTTATCACCCCCAATCCCTACCCAGCCAAAGCTGTACACATACCACAGCAGAAATTAAACCGCCTGTTGCTTTTGGTGGGTGCTACCGCTTGCCAATCATGACCCATTCAAGCATATGCAACTGCACTCTGCAAGCCCCCCACAACTGAATGCTTCTGCAGGGTCCAAGGGGTTAAAGCAGGTGGTGAAAATGCAGCACAATGCTGCCTGCTTTAACCCCTTGCTTGCTGTACTGCACAAGGATGTACTGCACAAGGATGCAGGGAACTTTCAGAGTGGCCTCATTCACTTGAATGGGTTTTGCTTGACAGGTACTACGGCTACAACATGTGTACAACCCTGGCTACTGCAGCTAAAGGGGGTGTGGTTGGGGTGGGGGTGGTAATAACGCATCTTAACTATGGGGATGTACCACCCCCCAAACTGCAAATGTAAATGAACCCTTACTGTTCTGAGTCCCTTATAAGCCTGCTTTCACACTGATCTGCTGCGGTTTACCTACACTGCGGGTGCAGTGCAGTGCATCTGCGTCTTTCCTGGGTTAGTTGCGCTTTGCCATAGACTTCTATTATATCCTGCAGGTGTGGTGCACTTTCTGAAAGTACACAAAAACTCCTGTATTCAGGAGTTTTGGTGTGCTTTCAGAAAGTGCACCAAACCCACAGGATATAATAGAAGTCTATGGCTAAGCACAGCAAACCCACAGAAAGGCTGCAGGGTCACTGCACTGCACCTGTGGTGTGGGTAAGCTGCAGTGCACCAGTGTGAAAGCAGGCTTATACTATTATGCCCAGTGTATTGCTTCACAATGACCTGCAGATCTCTTCTTTCCTGCTGCTGGCACCACTCTGGAGAATGCTAGCCGGGATAAGAGGCAGACTGAAGTTGGTATCACTCTGCATGGGACAGGAGCCAGCACTAGAGGAGGCATCGGCTTATGTGGCTCTTGCTCCCTACTACAGCTCCAACTTTACAAGTAATCCCTCTGCATTGCATCTGATGCTATGGGATGGCAGGTCAGCAAGGCCAGACCGCGATCTCCCAGTCACCTGGCCGCGATCTGCAAATTGCTGAGCCGCGCTGAAGAGGGTGTAGTAACAGTCTGTTTCAATACTGAGAGCTTGCAAGTACAAGTTGAGACACCTGTAGGGATTGTTAGCATACATCTTCAAGGCTTCATTTACTTACATTGCTGCAGAACACCTGTGAGTTGTATCAGAATGGAATAATATAAAAGCCCAGATGCATACTTGCAATTGGGAGCTTTCAGGTCATGAGACCACTGTGACAGGCAATCAATGCTGTCACATGACCTGAATGCCCTCTCCCACCTCCAGGCTTTTAGAACTCTTACAGAGCCGAGAGGCCATTGGCACGTAGGAGTTAAGCAAATCCCAAATTTCGGGCTGTCACCAGAAAAGGGATAGAGCGGATATCTTCCAATGGGGACGTTATTTCTGGTGATCCTGGTGACAAGCAAGGATTCTCTCACTTTTACTCTCATTTCCTGTTTTAGCTATGGGACAAGAATTGAAGGGAAATCTGCCCGATGGCAGACAGGGGTTATAATTCTTCCTTACTCCATCTAAAATGAAAAACAAAACGTTTTCCCATTCGTTAGTCCTACTTGCATGTTTCATTTAAAGTAGAAGGAAAGGATAAACTGCCCAAGGTATTAATTGTTGCCTTCTCCAGCTCATAAACATGCTGCACACTGTAAGGCTGGTCATACATGGGTCGATTTTCAAATGATTTTTAGTTCGACAATCGGACCTAAGAATAATCGGCCAATTTTTGATCTGTTAGTGATGCAATGGCACTGGGCAATTTTCGTGGTATCTTCCCATTTCATTTATCAGGCATGCTGGAAAATTTGTGAAAAACGACCAATTTTCGAAATCATTAGTGGCACCATCAGATTACAGAACAAACGAGGTGTTTGATTTTCGATCAAAAAAACATTCAGAATCTGACCCCTTTAAGGCCTGCTTTAGGCAGGCCATACATTGTACAATTTTCTTGAGATTTTTGGTTTAGATTTACCAAAAACCATATAATAGGAGGTCAAAACTAACAACACTATCAATTGTATCCAGTTAGGCAGGCCCTTGCACTACATAGTTGAAGGTAAATCTAAAGGAAATTGGGCAGAAATTGGACACAAAATTGTATAGTGTATGGGCAGCCTTAGTAATCACAGTGTACATACATTTTTTAACTTCAGTGTGGTCAAATGATCTCTTAACCCCAATTTGCCTGTTTCAATGAGAGGCTGAACAATGGGACTGAATTGTACAGATCTGTCATGTCACCCACCGGCTACCATTGCTCCCCTGTAGTCGGCGGAGAGAGAGTTTCCTTCCATCAGCCGCAGATGCTGCTCATTGACATGGAGGAGTCAGAGCTATCTGATCACGTATTTGCTCTGAAGATGATTAAAATAAAAGGTATTTACTCTGGGACCTTTTACAAACAGTATGCAGAATGTATATTAGCAGGAGGAGGCAACATTTTAAACCCAGGCTGTTTTAGCCTTTCCATCTACATTAAATATTAAAAATCAGCAAACAAAACCAAATAAACAATTGACAGCAGGAATACCAAATGGGAAGCATCAGTCTGGATGGCTTTTAGCGAAAACAAACATTTCCCATTCTCAAAAGGTCATTTACAATCTCATCACTTCACATTTTAAATTAAATTTTTCAGACGTAATCTCTTCATTGATTGCACTCCAGGACTCCACAAGCAATATAGTTATCCCATGTGTATTAAAAAGTCTGCAAGGTATCCCCTCCCCCACCTCCAACTCGTCGAATCCTCATCACATATTCCAAAATCTAATAATAATCCTACACACATACAAAAGCAGTCAATACCTTCTGGCTAACTAAGAGATATTCCATGCTAGCTCTTCATGCTTAGTTTTCATAACTGGAGAATTAAATCACCTAAGGAGGACCTAGCATCAGGTATATAGCATCAAACCAACGCTCACCCAGGATTCACACAGTTTCTCAATTGAATCCAGTTAGAAAAAAAAAAGTGTGACTTAGGTGTGAAAACATTTAAAAATATAGAACCCATTGTGTGTATTACCTCTCATAGAAATCAAAGTATATTCCTGACAACATCTGTTTTTCTCCCCATGAGGTTGGAGCCATCTTTGTTTAGGCATTATCCAGGTTCATCATTTACTTCCTGGACTAAGATGCAGGCTCGGTGATAGCACAATCGCTAATCATACAAAATGCAGAAAAAAAAAAAGCAGAGCACACCTAGAGCCCAAGGGCCTTAACTTGTTGGACTTTACTGGCACATCAATTGGGCCACTCATATGAACAAAGGAGAAATATGGCCAAAGCTATTTTCATTCTCTCCTGTGACCAGTTTTCAGCTGACAGTGGGCTACAGCCCCCTGTCGGCTGACATCACTCAGTCGGTCTAAGATCAGGAAAAGCCCGACTTTACAGTCGGGATCCACCCAGATACCTGGACCAGCAGCTGGCTCAGCCTCTGAGCAAGCTGCTGAGAGCCTGAGCCAGCAGCTCCCACCCCCTCCACAACTCAGAGATCCAATACAGGGGTGGAGCAAAGAGCCGGTGAATGATAGTCACCGGATCTCTGCAGGTTGAAGATCGGGAGCTGAGCGATCGGCAGTGTTTGATCATTCAGTTCTCAGTCTTCGAGGCGGCAGGGGACAGTGTTGCAGCCATCTAGATGAGTATGAATGTTTATTTTTGTATTCCCATACTATTTTTTTAAAACATAACATATTTAAATACATGATTATACATTAGATAAATGTAGGGTATACAATTAATTATAATTTATGTATATTCGTGTAAAAAACAAATTGTTGTTTTAGTCATATGCGTGCCCTGATTGATGTGCCAGTAAAGTCCAACAAGCTAAGGCCCTTGGGCTCTAGCTATAGATATAATGAGGATGTGGCACATAAGTGGTTAATTATATTATTCAGAATATACCAATCAGAAAGGAAAGAGATCTCAACTACGTGACAACTGTGTCTGTTCCGATTTTTGCACCTAACAAAATGGACCCATGTAATCTCTATGGATAGCTGGATGGAAGCAGATGTGCATCTGCCCATATCTGTCCACATCCGATCAGGCCAGTAAAAGTGGATTTGGACCCAAATGTTTTCCTTTCAGTTTGTGTCAAGGTCCTACCTTTTCCCTGAGGTTATGTTACTCCATGTGCTGGCGTCCATCTTGGATTCTGCTGTGCATGATGGGAATCCTTTTTATGCCTTCAGGTCTCTGAGGTCCACCCCCCAGAGGGGCGTGGCTGATGACATATAAGCCTGTGGCCCGCACATGCTCTTTGCACTTGTGTCTTGTGTCTTTGTGTTACTATTACTCTGTTCTGACTCTCGTGACTCTCCTGGTATTCTGATTCGGCTTGTGACTTGACTATTCTTTGTATTCTCCTTTGATCTGACCCTCTGTTGCTGAACCCGGCTTGTGACCTGTGATTCTCGTCTGCTGTCCTGTACTGTTTTGTCCTGTTGTTGTTGACCCCGGCTTGTCTGACTACTCTTTTGTTTCTTCCACCAGCTACACGCCATTGGTGGCAGCCATTACCGCAGCTGAGGTGTCTCGGGGGCCGCGACCTGGTTCCTGGCTGCGTCAAGTCCATCCCCACCATCAGGGGCCCTGGTGAAGGGCAGCCTGGGACTTAGACTCCGCGCCCTGAGGGACTTCGGTCTGTGGGTGGTGGTTGTCGTCAGCCAGTGCGTTACATTGTTAGGCCTGCCTGTCCGTTCCTCGGTTCCTGCCCTGACAGTTTGACAAACCTGAATGGATCTGGGTGTAAGCAGATATAGGCAGATGCATGTCTGCTTGCATCCAACCTTCCATGAGGATAAAGAGCAAAAATACACTGACAATACCCATGTGGGCCTAGAGTGGGCAAGAGCTAGCAACTATGACATACACGAAACATGACAAGCAGAGATATACTAAGCCTGTAGGTAACTTATCTGCAAATAATATGCATTTCTGTACATGGGCACTTTTCCATGCGAATGGGATTTGTAGTAAAATGCCTTGTAGCTTAATGACCATTTCTTGTAGAACATTTCCTACAACCCTAATTGTATACGAGACAAGGTTCATAGATGATTGATGAAAAAAACACAAATTATCCCTAATGTTTATTTATTAATCTTTGAATTTGTGATAATTATACATTCTGGTATACAATTAGAAAAAATATCAAATATATAAAATAATATTGTAGATTTTTTTTTGAACAGGAAGTCTTCCCTTTTTAGTTGATGGTTACTGAAAAAATGTAATGGATCTTTTAACAGTGACTATTTAAGTATATACCAAAGAATCACACATTTTAAACAGCCAGCGCTCACGTATGTCATTCATGGGTCCTGTACATGCATGACAAAAGAAAATCTACATTTGACATTATTACATGCTTTGAATTAATTGAAAATAGCCTGGCAGATGAATAACAGACAAACAAGATGACAAATAAAGTTACCAATACTGCAGGGGCATAGATAGGGGGGGTCTGAACCCCCCAGAGGAGAGTTGCCAACCATCCCTGGCTGCAGGCTGCAGCCCTCGAAATTTGGGCTGGGCAGTGAGAAGAACATAGCGGCTGGAACATATCGGCTGTGGGAGGGAGGGAGGGGGGGACAGAAAGAAAACCGTTCTGTGCAGCGGTGGAGGTGGCAATCTCCTGTATGGCTTTCAATGAAGCAGCTGGAAGCCAGGGGAGGGAGAGGAGGAGAATCAGCTTTCAGCTGCTTCATTGAAAGTCATACAGGAGATCGCTGCCCCTCCCACACACCCCTAGCCCCAGTGCTGCTCTCCGCCTCCACCGCTAAACAGAATGGTTTTCTTTCGCCCCTCCCTCCCAACGCTGCTGTGTTTAAGCTGCTGTGTTCTTCTCACTGCCCAGCAGCCCAGCCCCTCCCTCCATCCTCCACACCAATAGGAGAAGAGGGGAGAGAGGCTGGATCTGCTTTGCCTCCACCCTGTGCCCACCCACACTCCAGTCCGTGCAGCTTCAGAGGAGGTGTGGGTGGAAAAATGAACACAGCAGCCAACAGTCACAGCTCTGATGCTTCTGAAGGAGTCATGGGGAGTTTGACCCTTTCCTTCCACCCCCCCTTCCATCCTTCCACCCCCCTCCCTCCCTTCCATCCTGCCACCTCCCCCTTCCCTCCCTTCCATCCTTCCACCTCCTCTCCCTTCCACCCCCCCCCTTCCTTCCTTCCACCCACCCCCCTCTCTTCCACCCACCCCCCTCCCTTCCACCCACCCCTACCTTCCTTCCACCCACCCCTTCCTTCCATCCACTCACCCCCTTCCTTCCATCCACTCACCCCCTTCCTTCCACACACTCCTTCCTTCCACCCACCCCTCCCTTCCTTCCACCCACCCCTTCCTTCCATCCACCCCTTCTTTCCTTCCTTCCTTCCTTCCAACCACCCCTCCCTTCCTTCATTCCTTCAAGGGGGAGAAGTTGGGGGGAAAGGGTAAAACTGCAGCTCAGCTGCGAGCTGAAACCC